CTGTACTGGGGGGGTGGGGGGGTATACAGAAGATAGCCCTATTTGGTAAAAGACCAAGTCCATATTATGGCATGAACAGCTCAAGTAAGCAAAGAGAAACGACAGTCCATCATTACTTTAAGACATGAAGGTCAGTCAATCCGGACATTTTCAAGAACTTTTAAAGTTTCTTCAAGTGCAGTCGCAAAAACCATCAAGCGCTATGATGAAACTGGCTCTCATGAGGACTGCCACAGGAATGGAAGACCCAGAGTTACCTCTGCTGCAGAGGATAAGTTCATTAGAGTTACCAGCCTCAGAAATTGCAGCCCAAATAAATGCTTCACAGAGTTGAAGTCACAGACACATCTCAACATCAACTGTTCAGAGGAGACTATGTGAATCAGGCCTTCATGGACGAATTGCTGCAAAGAAACCACTACTAAAGGACACCAATAAGAAGAAGAGACTTGCTTGGGCCAAGAAACACGAGCAATGGACATTAGACCGGTGGAAATGTGTCCTTTGATCTGTAGTCCAAATTGGAGCTTTTTGGTTCCAACCACCGTGTCTTTGTGAGACGCGGCGTGGGTGATACGGATGATCTCCTCATGTGTAGTTATGGTGTGGGGGTGCTTTGCTGGGGACTCTGTCTGTGATTTATGTAGAATTCAAGGCACACTTAACCAGCATGGCTACCACAGCATTCTGCAGCGATACGCCATCCCATTTGGTTTGAGCTTAGTGGGAGTATCATTTGTTTTTCAACAGGACAATGACCCAACAAACCTCCAGGCTGTGTAAGGGCTATTTGACCAAGAAGGAGAGTGATGGAGTGCTGTGTCAGATGACCTGGCCTCCACCCAATTGAGATGGTTTGGGATGAGTTGGACCGCAGAGTGAAGGAAAAGCAGCCAACAAGTGCTCAGCAAGACTGTTGGAAAAGCATTTCTCATGAAGCTGGTTGAGACAATGCCAAGAGTGTGCAAAGCTGTAGTCCAAATTGGAGCTTTTTGGTTCCAACCACCGTGTCTTTGTGAGACGCGGCGTGGGTGATACGGATGATCTCCTCATGTGTAGTTATGGTGTGGGGGTGCTTTGCTGGGGACTCTGTCTGTGATTTATGTAGAATTCAAGGCACACTTAACCAGCATGGCTACCACAGCATTCTGCAGCGATACGCCATCCCATTTGGTTTGAGCTTAGTGGGAGTATCATTTGTTTTTCAACAGGACAATGACCCAACAAACCTCCAGGCTGTGTAAGGGCTATTTGACCAAGAAGGAGAGTGATGGAGTGCTGTGTCAGATGACCTGGCCTCCACCCAATTGAGATGGTTTGGGATGAGTTGGACCGCAGAGTGAAGGAAAAGCAGCCAACAAGTGCTCAGCAAGACTGTTGGAAAAGCATTTCTCATGAAGCTGGTTGAGACAATGCCAAGAGTGTGCAAAGCTGTCATCAAGGCAAAGGGTGGCTACTTTGAAGAATCTAAAATCTAAAATATTTTTTGAGTTGTTTAACACTTTTTTGGTTACTACATGATTCCATATGTGTTATTTCATAGTTTTGATGTCTTCACTATTATTCTACAATGTAGAAAATAGTAAAAATTAAGTAAAACCCTTGAATGAGTAGGTGTGTCCAAACATTTGAATGGTACTGTGTATTGTATGTATACTCTGGAACTACAAGCCCACGTGTTGTTGTCCATTAGTTTACTCCAATTAGAGGAGGGGTGGTAGGGTTAGGGGAAATAATAAAGGAAAATATCAAAAATATATATTTATAAGAAAAAGTATATGGGGGATTGGAAATGATGCAGACAATTACATTGATAGAAGCCACAATCAATTTGCAATATTAAAGCTGATCCACCCCATAAAAAAAATTATATATATATATACATATATATATATATATATATATATTGAAAGAGAGAGCGAGTGAGTGAGTGTTTGCTTAAGAGAGAGAAAGATCGAGATTGAAGAAGAGAGTGACTGTGTGTGTCTATAAGAGCAAGGCCTGGACCCAGTGATGTACTGTACACTCCCCTCCCCCTACCCTGAGATCACTGTGCAGTGATGTACTGTACACTCCCCTCCCCCTACCCTGAGATCACTGTGCAGTGATGTACTGTACACTCCCCTACCCCTACCCTGAGATCACTGTGCAGTGATGTACTGTACACTCCCCTCCCCCTACCCTGAGATCACTGTGCAGTGATGTACTGTACACTCCCCTACCCCTACCCTGAGATCACTGTGCAGTGATGTACTGTACACTCCCCTCCCCCTACCCTGAGATCACTGTGCAGTGATGTACTGTACACTCCCCTCCCCCTACCCTGAGATCACTTTGCAGTGATGTACTGTACACTCCCCTCCCCCTACCCTGAGATCACTGTGCAGTGATGTACTGTACACTCCCCTCCCCCTACCCTGAGATCACTGTGCAGTGATGTACTGTACACTCCCCTCCCCCTACCCTGAGATCACTTTGCAGTGATGTACTGTATACCCCACTCCTCCTACCCTGAGATCACTGTGCAGTGATGTACTGTACACCCCACTCCTCCTACCCTGAGATCACTGTGCAGTGATGTACTGTACACCCCACTCCTCCTACCCTGAGATCACTTTGCAGTGATGTACTGTACACCCCACTCCTCCTACCCTGAGATCACTGTGCAGTGATGTACTGTACACCCCACTCCTCCTACCCTGAGATCACTGTGCAGTGATGTACTGTACACCCCACTCCTCCTACCCTGAGATCACTGTGCAGTGATGTACTGTACACTCCACTCCCCCTACCCTGAGATCACTGTGCAGTGTGTGGTGTGATGCCCACTCCTCCTACCCTGAGATCACTGTGCAGTGTGTGGTGTGATGCCCACCCCCCCTACCCTGAGATCACTGTGCAGTGTGTGGTGTGATGCCCACTCCTCCTACCCTGAGATCACTGTGCAGTGTGTGGTGTGATGCCCACTCCTCCTACCCTGAGATCACTGTGCAGTGTGTGGTGTGATGCCCACTCATCCTACACTGAGATCACTGTGCAGTGTGTGGTGTGATGCCCACTCCCCCTACCCTGAGATCACTGTGCAGTGTGTGGTGTGATTCCCACTCCCCCTACCCTGAGATCACTGTGCAGTGTGTGGTGTGATGCCCACTCCCCCTACCCTGAGATCACTGTGCAGTGTGTGGTGTGATGCCCACTCCCCCTACCCTGAGATCACTGTGCAGTGTGTGGTGTGATGCCCACTCCTCCTACCCTGAGATGACTGTGCAATGTGTGGTGTGATGCCCACTCCTCCTACCCTGAGATCACTGTGCAGTGTGTGGTGTGATGCCCACTCCCCCTACCCTGAGATCACTGTGCAGTGTGTGGTGTGATGCCCACTCCTCCTACCCTGAGATCACTGTGCAGTGTGTGGTGTGATGCCCACTCCTCCTACCCTGAGATCACTGTGCAGTGTGTGGTGTGATGCCCACTCATCCTACACTGAGATCACTGTGCAGTGTGTGGTGTGATGCCCACTCTCCCTACCCAGAGATCACTGTGCAGTGTGTGGTGTGATGCCCACTCCCCCTACTCTGAGATCACTGTGCAGTGTGTGGTGTGATGCCCACTCCCCCTACCCTGAGATCACTGTGCAGTGTGTGGTGTGATGCCCACTCCCCCTACCCTGAGATCACTGTGCAGTGTGTGGTTTGATGCCCACTCCCCCTACCCTGAGATCACTGTGCAGTGTGTGGTGTGATGCCCACTCCCCCTACCCTGAGATCACTGTGCAGTGTGTGGTGTGATGCCCACTCCCCCTACCCTGAGATCACTGTGCAGTGTGTGGTGTGATGCCCACTCCCCCTACCCTGAGATCACTGTGCAGTGTGTGGTGTGATGCCCACTCCCCCTACCCTGAGATCACTGTGCAGTGTGTGGTGTGATGTCCACTCCCCCTACCCTGAGATCACTGTGCAGTGTGTGGTGTGATGCCCACTCCCCCTACCCTGAGATCACTGTGCAGTGTGTGGTGTGATGCCCACTCCCCCTACCCTGAGATCACTGTGCAGTGTGTGGTGTGATGCCCACTCCTCCTACCCTGAGATCACTGTGCAGTGTGTGGTGTGATGCCCACTCCCCCTACCCTGAGATCACTGTGCAGTTTGTGGTTTGATGCCCACTCCCCCTACCCTGAGATCACTGTGCAGTGTGTGGTGTGATGCCCACTCCTCCTACCCTGAGATCACTGTGCAGTGTGTGGTGTGATGCCCACTCCCCCTACCCTGAGATCACTGTGCAGTGTGTGGTGTGATGCCCACTTCCCCTACCCTGAGATCACTGTGCAGTGTGTGGTGTGATGCCCACTCCCCCTACCCTGAGATCACTGTGCAGTGTGTGGTGTGATGCCCACTCCTCCTACCCTGAGATCACTGTGCAGTGTGTGGTGTGATGCCCACTCCCCCTACCCTGAGATCACTGTGCAGTGTTTGGTGTGATGCCCACTCCCCCTACCCTGAGATCACTGTGCAGTGTGTGGTGTGATGCCCACTCCCCCTACCCTGAGATCACTGTGCAGTGTGTGGTGTGATGCCCACTCCTCCTACCCTGAGATCACTGTGCAGTGTGTGGTGTGATGCCCACTCCCCCTACCCTGAGATCACTGTGCAGTGTGTGGTGTGATGCCCACTCCTCCTACCCTGAGATCACTGTGCAGTGTGTGGTGTGATGCCCACTCCTCCTACCCTGAGATCACTGTGCAGTGTGTGGTGTGATGCCCACTCCCCCTACCCTGAGATCACTGTGCAGTGTGTGGTGTGATGCCCACTCATCCTACCCTGAGATCACTGTGCAGTGTGTGGTGTGATGCCCACTCCCCCTACCCTGAGATCACTGTGCAGTGTGTGGTGTGATGCCCACTCCCCCTACCCTGAGATCACTGTGCAGTGTGTGGTGTGATGCCCACTCCCCCTACCCTGAGATCACTGTGCAGTGTGTGGTGTGATGCCCACTCCCCCTACCCTGAGATCACTGTGCAGTGTGATGGTGTTTACCTCTTTCAGACAACCCATAAAGTTGTTGCTCACAGGTGATCCAGGCAGGTCAGCGGTGCTAGGACTCCCGCCAACATAGAAAAAGTCGTCGGAGCCTAGCATGGTGTAATCCTCTTGAGTGTACCCTGTGGTGGTCAGTATCCCATCCACGGATATAGTTACCTAGACAACAAAGCACAGGGAAAGGACACGCTATACTCTGAAAGCCTATCAGAGCTCTCAGTCCAGCGGCTTTATGCCTCTTTCATAGACTTCTGATAGTTTAATTGTTCTTCTATAGATGTTTGGTAAAGATTGTAGAAACCCATTTTCATGTCTGTTTTTTTTCTTTTCTTGTTTTTTGTTTATTTTGTCCAGTTTAGGATTAGTAGTTTGAGAAGTAGACGGCTAGCCCTCCAAGGGAATGATACAGCTAGTTAGCTAGGGAGTTAGTTAGTTGCCCCAGACTAAGTGTGTTAGTATGTTAGCCCCTACTGCAACTCAAAAGTAATTTCAGCAGACACAAAAATGGTGTTAGTAGAATGTTATCTAGGTTAGTTTTGCTAGGGTTACATATTAGTAAAAGTTAATCAGCAGTTTGTTTTCAAATGGGGAAAAAAATAATAGTGTGCAAGTGGGTTGGATATAGAAAGCAACAAGCAAGTAGAAGCCACAACTACATGTTTAGCGTTTGGTTAATGATACCCAGAAATTAGTTTTTTCAGAAATACAAAAGTAAGCAGTTGCAAGCACAAAAAAATACACATTTCCCAAGATAGTGTCTGCTAATAGGTCTGCTAATCGTTTTAGTCTGACACTTTGTGCTCGTGTCGGATGCATGCAGAAGCAGATGATGGGTGGATCGTGCTGAAAAAATTACAACGAGGGACCAGAAGAAAAAGCACCAATGAAAATGACAGCTGGCCTGGACGAATAGTGGGCAGTGTGAGCATGTGCAGCATACAGAGCAGCATTCGGAGTGCCATGCAGAGTGAATGGGAAATAGAACACTGGCTGAGCCAATGAGCATCAGGCCAGCCAGGCAGGAGACAGACATTGGTCCTCCTTTGATAACCACTGCTTGATGCAAAAGGCTTGAAACGATGCCCCTAAAAATGTGACTGGACAGGATACAGGAAGTAAAAATAACAGGAAGTGGTGAAAACCAACCAACGAATGAAAATAGAGTCAAAATAAAAAGGAGGTCAAAAGGTAAGCAGAAAGAGTACCAACCGCCGTTCCCTTTGTTTTGTTAATGACGTCTACAGTAAGAAAAGATAGAAAAGAAACCCACGGCAAACCCAAACTAAGAAACAATTAGAATGATATCTACCGAACAATGGAGTTTGTTTACCATAGCGTGTCCAATGCCTGAGTGCTTTGTGGAGAGGGGGGAGAAAGGAAATGAAAAACTGTCAACAGAATAACGATACTTACTCAAAAAAGAGATGATGGTTAACTACCAAAGGTTAGTACATTGTGGTTGTTGTTGTTGTTAATAAACGTAAAAAAAAGAGATTGGTTAGTTATATGACACATTCCATGAATGACATGTTAGTTGTTGTTTTTCAAAGCATGTTAGTAACATAGAGTAAAAAAGGGCAAAATAAGTTATTTTTACAAGAAAAAAACCAGACTAAGGGAGACTAGCGAAAATGCTCCCACAAGTGGAAGTGAGCTAGCTCGCATTGGATCAATCAGTGACTCCCTATGGTCTACATGGGACTGTCCATGTAGACCGGAATGCCCTGGGTAGGCATCAACAACCCCCCCCCCCCCCCCCCCCCCCCCCCCCCCCCACAACCCCTGACCCCCGACCCCTCTGTATGACAGACAGAAAACAAATGGTTAATAAGAGAGAATGCCTAAAGCACATCAGTCGACCCTCTTTAACGAAAGACCTTCCGATCGTTGTTCTTTTTCTTTGGATGCTTTGGGTTAATTATATAAACATTTTCATTATCAGGACCAGTTTGGACCATTTTCATGATTTTCAAGACCCGTTTTGGACCCCGATTCTGACCGATCTCATCTGTTGGGACGTTGGTGGTCAGGATCTCAACTTACAGTACTGTGCCTCCATTTGGTCTTATTGATGGACTTTAGGATCACTTTACTGCAATGAGACAAAGCAAAGACCCTGACACAAAATGAGAAGGAGAATGGAAATTGAATCCCCCGTTGAGCATGCACTTTCATTATGCATTCTTAATGTTTTCACAGTTCAATTCAATTTTAACATTACTCAAATTATCTCGATTTTTTTTAAATATCTTTGTCGGTGTGGTGTTTCAAAAGAAACAATCAACTACTATGTGAGCAGGAACACATCTAGAGAGCTAGTGTGTTGGTGGGATGCTGTGAGCAGGAACAAATCTAGAGAGCTAGTGTGTTGGTGGGATGCTGTGAGCAGGAACACATCTAGAGAGCTAGTGTGTTGGTAGGATGCTGTACAAGTGAAAGGGAAGCCATTATATTCTATACTTTCACCTATATGTCATGAAGCAAACTTTGTCGCTTGTAAACTGTGTTGCTTCTATGTTTCTTAATTTAGCAGTTTTCTTTGTATTGTAACAGAAAAACAAATCTTAGCGTGCATTGTATTTTCAGTAAAAATAGCATGTGTTGAGCAGCCAAAGACCCAGAGGTCAACAAAGAGAAGGCTGATCCTCTAAAAGTCAATAGAGGCTGTTCATTGTGGTCACAACTATAGAGGGAAAAGCTGCCAAGAAATTGATGACTCAGAGATCAGCTTTTCTGAACAAAGTGACGCTCGGTAAGAGCTACGTTCTTTTTCACATGGTCTTTCCACTATTGATAACTCTGATATTCCATGGTCTGTCCTCTATTGATGCCAACCATTGGTCTATATGTGTCCCTGCTGAAATGCATCACCGCCTTCCTCATGTCTTAACTACAGATCAAATCATTAGTATAGTCAATCCAAATACTTATTCCAAAATAGTTAAATAGTTTGATTGTAATGATCAAATTCAATCAAATTTGGCTCATCCAAATTAGTTTACTACTAAGTCTCCATGGCAGTCACCCGCTGTACTGTTACCTGACGTAGATTCCTTGTAACTTTGACATCATGCCAATCATTGTCATTGAATTTCCCATTGACCGGTTCCACCAGAGCTTCAAAGGCTCCAGACCCCAAATTAATGACCAGCGACACGGCTCCGTTTTTCAGGGCGAGGTTGACATAGTCTGCAGACTTCCCCGTGTGAAGCATTAGACCATTCCTCTGTAATGTCTTGAAGGACAGGGTGATCTCGTCGCTGCTGCTCTGGATCGGGTTCAAGGACAGGTCGTAGCAAAAGAACTCGGATCCCTTGAAGGTCGCCACATAGTCTTCTTTTCCTATAAGATGACACAAAGACAGAGAGAGAGAGAGAGAGAGAGAGAGAGAGAGAGAGAGAGAGAGAGAGAGAGAGAGAGAGAGGGGGGGGGGGGGGGCATTGAGTTTTACATCAGAAGAAGGAAGGGAAGAGGAACAACTCTTACATTTCCTATAGCTCGGCTGCTTAGCTGTCCACCTTAGAGGTTGCTGCCCTATGTACATTGACATGGAATCACTGGTCACTTTAATAATGGAACACTGGTCACTTTAATGATGTTTATATACTCTTTTACTCATTTCATATGTACAGTATGTATATTTATACTCCAGACTCCGACATTGCTCGTCCTAATATTTATACATTTCTTAATTCCATTATTTTACTTTTAGATTTGTGTGTATTGTTGTGAATTGTTAGATATTACTGCACTGCTGGAGCTAGGAACACAAGCATTTTGTTATTCACCCGCAATAACATCTGCTAAATATGTGTATGCGACCAATACAATTTGATTTGATTTGATGTGATTTAGCTGTTCAGAATGTAAAGGAAGAATTCAAAAAAGTTAGGCTATAACACTTGGCATTCAGTTTGGACTTGACTTGCGGTGATAAAATGGGATGATATGGCCATTGACAAAGAAAGACTGTTCTGCTAAGGGCTGGCTCTGTACAGTACTTACCGGTGGACCTTTATATTGGTCCTCCAATGGGCTGCATTACTGATACTTACTGTAGCCCACCATACCGAGGGTATGCATAAAAACCTTGTGACCTGCTACTCACGGTGCCCCAGAAAGCAACAGGAAGCCTTGTCTCAAGTTCTTACCTGTACCTCAGGTAGTGTGGACCAGGTAGTGTACCAACTTCAAGTTCTTACATGTACCTCAGGTAGTGTGGACCAGGTAGTGTGGACCAGATAGTGTACCAGGTAGTGTGGACCAGGTAGTGTGGACCAAGTAGTGTGGACCAAGTAGTGTGGACCAGATAGTGAACCAGGTAGTGTGGACCAGGTAGTGTGGACCAGGTAGTGTACCAACTTCAAGTTCTTACCTGTATCTCAGGTAGTGTGGACCAGGTAGTGTGGACCAAGTAGTGTGGACCAAGCAGTATGGACCAGATAGTGAACCAGGTAGTGTGGACCAGGTAGTGTGGACCAGGTAGTGTGGACCAGATAGTTAACCAGGTAGTGTGGACCAGGTAGTGTGGACCAGGTAGTGTGGACCAGGTAGTGGACAAGGTAGGGTAGCAGGTAGTGTGGACCAGGTAGTGTGGACCAGGTAGTGGACAATGTAGTGTGTACCAAGAAGTGTGGACCAGGTAGTGTGGATCAGGTAGTGGACCAGGAAGTGTGGACCAGGTAGTGTGGACCCGGTAGTGTACCAAACACTGCGTATTTGCCTTGTTTAGGAATTTGCTGGAAGTTCCTCAAAGTCACACATGTCTAAATCAATCAGAAGGTAAGGATTCTGTTACCAGAACTGCTGGTTTGGTTTATGCTTCACACGTTGAAGAGGAAACCCTTCTACTGTTACATCATAATACAATGCAAATATGCACCATTGCTGTTCAGATGAAAAAACAGAAAAACCCATAATTCCATTTGCAAAAAAAGCCTGGATTGTTTACGTTAGCTGGCTCTATTGTGTTTGTGAATGGAGAGGCAGTAATTGTATAATGGAGGAGTGAGTATTACATTGCATTTTTTCAGTGCATGCAGAGTGAGAGAGAGAGAGAGAGAGAGAGAGAGAGAGAGAGAGAGAGAGAGAGAGAGAGAGAGAGAGAGAGAGAGAGAGAGAAAGAGAGAGAGAGAGCGCGAGAGAGAGATTTATGTTCTGTGTCGGATTCACCAAAGCTCCATAATAAAATCAATCCAATTAATTTTGCTGCTACACATTTTCAAGCCAATAAACCCATTGGAAGGCTGGCGGTTTGCGGTTCTCTTTTAGCCATAATACATTCTAAGAGACAAGAGATGAGCTAGTGAAGATCCATGGAACAACAGAGGAAGAAGCTGAAAATAACTATTTCAGGGGTCAGTATTGGAAAGAGGTAGCATCAGGCAGGGAGGGTACAATGGTAGGTCAACCATTAGCTAAGCCATTTAGAAAGAGATCTGGGAGAAAATAACAAGCTATTCAAATCACCATCCAACAATAACACCACCACAAATGGACCACAGTGTTAAATTACCATAAATATAATAAATGCAAAGAACTACACGTTTATATACACATTACATACATACACTACACAGGTACCCACTCATTGATACATAGACTACAGACAGACAGAAACAGACAGACACACACACACACACACACACACACACACACACACACACAGAGAATGGCCCAATAAAGAGGGTACCTCTCCGGAGCAATTTGTCAGGCCATCGATCCCTCTTTAAAGGTACTATTCTGCACCTCTGAAAAACACTATAAGGGGCCGTAATTCAGCGTGACTGGATCTTGGCCCTTCTCTGGCTGTTCCTCTCCTCTCTCTTTAAGCTTTAAGGCTCTCTCTCAAGCCCCTGAGCCTCCATCCTCCATCAGTATAAGTGAGTGACAGGTATCCTCCCCACACCCACCCGCACATAAGCACACACACACACACACACACACACCTTCTCCTCCTGTCAGTCCTGGACAGCTTATCAACTCCATCACTCCTTGACCATTCATCTCTCTCTCGCTCTCTCTCTCTCTCTCTCTCTCTCTCTCTCTCTCTCTCTCTCTCTCTCTCTCTCCTCATGCATTCCTCCGACTCCTGTCTTTGGGTCAGACCTAACGATCAGACCTCTGTTCTGTCTCCCTCTCCGGTGGCTTCTAATCGGTTTCAGATCTTCAGTGCTCCCCCCCTTATCGGACCGTGTAGGAGCCAGTGTCTGAGACTCCGGCCCCTCCATCAGCCACAATTGATTCTAGAGCTGGCTCGGGTCCATCGGGCCTCACTGCCCATCGATCCTTGGAGGGTCTGCGATGCCACCAGCTGTCGTCATCGGCAGCTCTATGGTGAGAAACATCTCGGTTCTCGGGGCAAAAACTCTGTGCTATCCTGGAGTACGAATACAGGACATTACCAGGCTGCTTCCTACCGTTCTACGGCAGCTGCCGGGGGCTGACACTGTCGTAGTCCATGTGGGGTCAAACCACATCAGGAGGGCTAGCTCGGAATTGCTGAAAATGGATCTTAAAGAACTGATTCTAGCTCTGAAAGATTCCAAAAAGCGGCCAATTATTTCAGGTCTTGGCTCCTGGACTCTGTCCACGCATTTCAAGGCTACTTTGAGAAAATGACTTATGAATGACCCAAGCCCAGCTCAGATAATCCCTACCATTGTGTCGCTGAGTTGTCATAGTGCTGCAGCAAATGTACATTGTCCCAGGAGCGTTGGAAGTCATAATGTAAGTAACCTAATTTATGTCCCTCTAAGTTCCCTGAATGCCTCTGTCGATCCTATAGCTGTTGTAATCATGTGTCTATGAACCAGAGTTACACTGTTAGCCCTGAGGCTGAGTGCCCTAGTAGGAAGTCCACTGTGTGCAGCTCACCCTGCACTATCAGCTCAAACATAAATATCACTCTCATGTCTACTTCTGATCAGTAAAACAATCACAACAATCAAACATCCTAGAAGAGTGCAAAACACATCCCACATTAAAATATTTTGCCTAAGAAACAAGGTTCATGAAATCGATAACTTGCTAGTAACAGATGACATTCATATACTGACTATCTGTGAAATTCACTTAGATAACACATTTTACGATATAGTGGTAGCAATTCATGGTTATAACAACTACACAAAAGACAGAAATGCCAACGGGGGTCTATATTCAGAGCCACATTCCTGTAAAGCTTAGAGAGGATCTCATGTTAAATACTGTTGAAGTAATATGGCTACAGGTTCACCTGCCTCAACTAAAGCCCATTCTTGTGGGAAGCTGTTATAGACCACCAAGTGCAGTCAGTATCTGGATAACATGTGTGAAATGCTTGATCATGTATGTGATATCAACAGTGAGGTATATTTTCTGGGTGACATACATATTGCCTGGCTTTCGTCAAGCTGCCCACTCAAGAAAAAGTTTCAAACTGTAACCAATGCCTGCAACCTGGTTCAGGTTATTAGTCAACCTACCAGGGTATTTACAAACAGCACAGGAATGAAATCCACATGTATTGATCACATCTTTACTACTGCTGCAGAAATCTGCTGTAAAGCAGTATTCAAATCCATTGGATTTAGTGATCAAAATACAGTAGCCATATCTAGAAAAAACTAAGTTCCAAAGGCTGGGCCTAATATTGTTTATAAGAGGTCCTACAATAGGTTGTGTAGTGATTTCTAAGTTAAGAATATTTCATGGTCTGTGGTGTGTAATGAGGAGAAACCAGACGCTGCACTTTATGAAATTGCTTACTCCCGTTAATAATACAGTGGCTTGCGAAAGTATTCACCCCCCCCTTGGCATTTTTCCTATTTTGTTGCCTTACAACATGGAATTAAAATAGATGTTTTGGGGTTTTGTATCATTTGATTTACACAACATGCCTACCACTTTGAAGATGCAAAATATGTTTTATTGTGAAACAAACAAGAAATAAGACAAAAAAACAGAAAACTCGAGCGTGCATAACTACTCTACAAAGTCAATACTTTGTAGAGCCACCTTTTGCAGCAACTACAGCTGCAAGTATTTTGGGGTATGTCTCTATAAGCTTGGCACATCTAGCCACTGGTATTTTTGCCCATTCTTCAAGGCAATACTGCTCCAGCTCCTTCAAGTTAGATGGGTTCCGCTGGTGTACAGCAATCTTTAAGTCATACCACAGATTCTCAATTGGATTGAGGTCTGGGCTTTGACTAGGCCATTCCAAGACATTTAAACATCCCCACAGGATGATGCTGCCACCACCACGCTTCACTGTGGGGATGGTGTTCTCGGGGTGATGAGAGGTGTTGGGTTTGTGCCAGACATAGCGTTTTCTTTGATGGCCAAAAAGCTCAATTTTAGTCTCATCTAACCAGAGTACCATATATTTGGGGAGTCTCCCACATGCCTTTTGGCGAACAACAAACGTGCTTGCTTATTTTTTTCTTGAAGCAATGGCTTTTTTCTGGCCACTCTTCCGTAAAGCCCAGCTCTGTGGAGTGTCCGGCTTAAAGTGGTCCTATGGACAGATACTCCAATCTCCGCTGTGGAGCTTTGGAGCTCCTTCAGGGTTATCTTTGGTCTTTTTATTTATTCTTTATTTAACTAGGCAAGTCAGTTAAGAACAAATTATTATTTACAATGACGGCCTACACCGGCCAAACCCGGACGACGCTGGGCCAATTGTTCGCCGCCCTATGGGACTCCCAATCACGGGCGGTTGTGATACAGCCTGGAATCGAAACAGGGGGTCTGTAGTGCCGCCTCAAGCAATGAGATGCAGTGCCTTAGACAGCTGCGCCACTGTTGCCTCTCTGATTAATGCCCTCCTTGCCTGGTCTGATATTTTTGGTGGCCGGCCCTCTCTTGCCAGGGCCACAAATACATCTAGACACCGTCACCCTAGAGCACACAAAAATATCCACGGTGTACAATGTAAAATACCAAATAATGCAAGCAGAGCAGAATTAGGCCGATACCCACTAATGATCAAAATCCAGAAAAGAGCCGTTAAATTCTACAACCACCTAAAATGAAGTGATTCCCAAACCTTCCTTAACAAAGCCATCACCTACAGAGAGCTGAATCTGGAGAAGAGTCCC